AAAAGGAGGAGGAGACAAGTGATTTTCTTCCTCTGAGTGCTTTTTAGAGAGTTGATCTTAGCAGCTTTTTATAACAATGTTGTCAAACTCCAACTGTCCCTTTATTAGAGGCCCTTTTCTTGATATTTCTTTATTCTAACTTATTAGTTGAAAATTGGCTTAGTCCCTTATGGCCAACTTTGGCATACACCAAAGTGTTTATATATTTATTTATTACTATTATTGCCTTTGTGATATATCATTTTGATTTATTTTTGTCTTTTTGGGTTTGGAAGGATGTGATAGTTACTATATATTAATTTGAGTTACTATAATATTTAGTATATATTGAGTTTGCATAGACTAGAATATGAATATGCTTTGATGGATAATATGTAACTGAAGCAAAAGCATAACTTGTATATCATACACAAATACTAAGCATCACAGACAAACAACATTAATATATGTTACTCATGCTATAATTCAATATAATTTTATTATTTTACAATTTAAATAAAACACAATCTAGTTGGAGTAGGAGCATTCAAAAAGGTCAATAATTGAACACCCAGCAAACCAATCTAAAAGACACGTTGAAATGATAATAGACTGAGGTTTTTAAACACATTAAACTCGTATCCAATCATATAAATACCGATGGATCGATTGTTAGAATGCCTAATATTTAGGTAGTAATACTTTTTAATATATATATATATTATATTATATTCAAATATCATATTTTAGAATAATTATATTATAAATAAAATTATGGCAGTTCATTGCGTACATATATATTTTTTAGTAAGAGTATGACAATTTACAGTAAGGTAGATATATAAGAGCCTTGTGTCCATTTTACATGACTTTGTATCAAACAACCACAAATTAATGCAGAGTGCAATACAGTAATGTTTTTATAGGATAAGTTGAAAACTATGAAACTTAGAATATTAATTTAAGTCGTTGTTCTGAATGTAAAGGTGAATATGCGAGATTCAAGTAAACTGATAATCTTTATAGTCATAAACGAATCATAATTTAACATTCTTTTTACCACATTTCCTAAGTTGGACATCCATTTGATAAATTGGTCTATTTTTAAAAACGATAAACTAACTTGAATCTTATCAACCTTGGCACACTAACTTATCGAAAAAAAAAAATCATTTGGCATGTTAGTATATCAATTTTGTTATTTTGATGATTTTTTTAATATTTCTTTCTTTTTTTTAATAAATGTCGTTTTGAGAAATTACACAGTAATTAAGAATATTTTTTTTGCCAATAATAATCCTCATTACTAAGGATAGAGATGAATGTTTTGAGAAAAGATGAAAAGTGAATATGAAAAGACGTAATGTATTTATTAACTAGATAAGGATAATAATGGAAAAATATATACAAAAGATCCAAAACGTCATTTATTTAGTTAATTGTTGATAAAGCTAAGATGATATTTATAAAAAAAAATGAGGTAGTACTAATTTCCCAAATATTTCTTTTATGATTTTTGCAAGTGAGATGCGGAATAATTGACATTCATTATATTTTCATACATTATGAGTGATATATAGTGATATTTGGCCATGATTATCGTGTGATTGTGCACCATTTCGTTTTATTTATTAAACTATGATAGAGGTGTTTTTGTCGTTGTTTTTGCAGGAAATATGCCCGGAAATGCGTTGGAGATGGAATCGGGACGAAAAACAGCGAAAACGGGTGCAGAGGAGGTCACACGACTCGTGTGAGTAGTGACACGGGTCGTGTGGGTTGAAGAAATAAGAGACGCAGCTACGGCATTTCCACACGAGTCGTGTGGGTTGGGACACGAGTCGTGTGGCCTCACACGACTCGTGTGACCCGGTCGTGTGGGTGCTCGTGTGAGTCTGGGAGTTTGCCAAAAATTGCAGAAAAGTCACACGACTCGTGTGACGCGCAGACCAGACCTGCGGGGAATAGGATTCTTACGCGTTTTCTTCCCTTTTTCGACCCTGAATGACCCTACAGTATAAAAGAGGCCTTAGGAACTCGTTTTTGGGACTTTTGACACCATTGGAGGCCTAGAGAAAGCACGAAACACACGAGGGATTCGAGGAAGTCAAGATTGAAGATCCGGGAACTAACGGTGACAATAGTTCTTCTTTCTTTTCTCTTTTTCTTCTTCATTGAACTCATGAATATATTTATGTTGAGTTTTGAGCATATGTTTAGTAGCTAAACTTTTAGGGATTCTAGGATTTGCGAGTACTCGGATTATTTTATGAAGTGATTTTGTTTATTCATTCCGGTTTATCATTCGTTTATAAATTTCTTGTGCTTTTATTAATTGCGTGAATATAGGGCCCGTATTTATGCATATTTGTGATTGACTTGAGACCGAGAGGAGATAGTTGATCGCTAGAATTGGGAAATTCATAACGTAAGAGACTAAATAGACCGAGAGGTTGATGGAATCTTGCGAGGGAACTAGAATCTTAGGAGCTTATGGGAGTTGATTGTTCATCTTGAGACCGAGAGGAGATAGATAACAATTAATATCTACGATTTAACTTGTTCGAGAGAAAGGTGTAAATTACTTTAGTGATTATCCCTACGAATGGTAGAATTAAATAAGGTTTGAATGAATAATTAATCTTTGTTAGAATAATCCCGAGGAAAGCATAGCCTAGAATCTATTTTCTCATTCTTGATTTATCTTAGAACAAGCCTTCATTAGTGTTAGAATTTATTTTGCAATCATTCATTAGTTTAGAATAAAATCACCATTCAAATTCGCATTAGACTAAATAATATTTAATCGTTTACATTTTGATACTTAGTTAATTTTGACAACAATCTCTGTGGAATACGACCTTGCTCGCCACTCACTACAGCTATACCGTACACTTGCGGATAGTGAAAATATTTTGCGAACAATAATATTATTATTTAAAAAACAATAATTTAGTGGATAAAAAATGATTTTTTTTTCTCTTAAAATTTACTTCAATTAGAATTTCCTTTTCCCTAACTAATAATGAGGATAAGTGATAATTAAAGCAAACTACATCTCATCCTTAGCTGTGGTGAATATTTTTGATTTTGCAATATTCTGAGAAAGCAAACTATAATCTCCTATCCCTTGTTATCTTGACTTTGTCGTGGTCTACCAAATTTCAAAATAATGACGACGATTATATTAAAATACTGATTGTAACAATTACCTTTTTATTTCGAAAATGCATTTAAATAATGCAAAAGTTGTACAAATTTAAATGCATACTCAGTATCTACTTTTTATTTGGATATCATAATTAATTTGGCCAAGTACAAGAAGAAAAATAAGATTACAGGTTGTTATGTTGGTACTATGACATTGAATATCTTAGTTATTTGATTATTTATTCTTCTTCTTCACATTTCTTTCTTCCTTTTCCCCTTTTCAGTTTCTTTTCCTATTGCGGCATAAAAATGCTTCACTAGGACTCAATTCAACTCCTTTCGCGAACAAAACTCAATTTGGCTGCTAAAAGCTTGAGCCTCATTTTTTTTTTGCTTAATTAAACCAATCGAGCTTGAAATTGAACCCATTATTATATCAATTTTTATATAAATTTTTATTCACGAGTAGCTCGTAATTTTTTATATAAATTAAAATAGTCAATTCGAATTTGTTTGCAAACAAACATTTTATGATCGGGAACAACTCTTTTAAAGTTTACTAAGTTAATTTGAGTCGAGCTTTGACAAATTTAAAGGAGACGACTCGTTTATTAAACAAAACGAGGTCAATATGAGCAACTCAGCTCGCGACCCTAATTCACATAACACATATATATATATACATGAATAAGTTCCTAGCCATCTTTAAAAATAAAATCTTCCACACATATACATAATTTGTATTTATTCTTTTTGTTTTACTCGTAGAATATTCAATTGGGATGACATCCCGTGCCAAGCACCTGATGACGCACAGGATTGAAATTTGTACCTCTCACAACAATCTTGTAGTCGTCTTCTTCTGCAATAACATAGGATAATATTTTCTATATTTTTGTTAGATCCAGAGAATACAGCTGATAAATTGGTTTCGTTAAGGCTCAAATTTGTTTAGTTAATAAACCAAGCTTGATTTGTTAGAACTCGTTAAAATTTAAAAATATGATTTTTATAACGTGATTTTCTTTACCTCGACCCAATTAAGTCGAATTCAGTTCGTTATGATAGGAAAGAGACGGGACGAATTCGGGAAAATGATCATCTCAATCCGATCTTACAATAACTCCATCTATTAATATATAAAGAGGGAATGATAGTTGTTTAAAAAAATCAAGTGGAAAATCAACAAAAAAAAGATTTCAATTCCCGCCTAAATAAATACTATAATGAGGATTTTTTTTAGTAAAAAATTGAATCTGCCCGCCTTCAACCAATTCAAACGTTTTTTTTTATATTTTAGTTATTTATTTCAAGCCTTATCTATTTACACAATCCGATTTTTACGAGATTTGGTTAGATTCTTTTGTCAAATATTTGTATATATCTTAATTAAATCATTCCAAAATCATTCTAACTAAAATCACGTGTGCTATAGAATCTTATCTATATAAATACAGTTGTTTATCATCTGCTCCAAAGGTTCACGATAAAAATTCATACACAGATATATCGACAGAGGAAGGGAAAGGCTCGCCCTACGGCCGCCATGAATGGGTCCCGAAAGAATAAATTCCGATTACAAACCGAGACGAATTTGTCTCAAGCCGGACGCAAATAATGTTGTAACGAGACTCTCGGGCGAATCAAAAGCCAAGCTCATCCCACGTATTTCACCCAAAGCCCGTCCCTTTTCGCCCGGTTCGAGAATATCGGCTTTTGGTGGTCATAGGCTTTTGGTGTACGAGTTCATGCCGAAGGGTAGTTTGGTAAATCATCTATTCAAGAGTAAGTTCGGTTTGTTCTTCTATGAATGGTGTTATATTCAGTGTTTGCAGATAACTACAAAAGAGTGATTAAAAAAGAAAGAAAGAGTCCATAATCTCTATAAGATTAAACTTTGCTGTCATTGGATTATAAATATGATGATTATTAGGTCATTTAACCGCAAGGAGTGACGTGTACAACTTTGGGGTCGTTCTTCTAGAAATCTTGACCCGAAAAAAAAGCGATCGTGAGGAATTAAGGAGTGACGTGTACAACTTTGCTTATGGACTTGAGATAAAATCGTTGTGTATTTTAATCAAATATTAAAAAATGGTACCACGTATAGGTACGTGAGGAATTACGCGTGGGGAGACGCGGCGTCGTTTCGAACCCTAGGCGGCTTAATGTTGTATTTGAACGAGCTGCTGGGAGCTCTGTATGAGCTGATCCGAATCGAGTTGGACGCGGAGAGGGTCGCCTGGATCGGTCGGAATTACAAGAAAGCCCTTGGTGTCTCGAAGTCGATCTTTGCTCGGCTGCTCACTGTTTTTTGTCAATCCGTATGTATACCTGTTTTTGTGCTCTTGCTTTTATTTTCTTAGGGTTTAGTGTTTTACCTATGATTGATAAAAAAAAAAAATAGATGTTTTGATTGCTTAAATGGTGTTTGAGGGATTGGTGATGAAAATGGCTAAACTTGTGTTATTGATTTCTTGCATTTCCTATTATCCTGTTAATCACTGTTTCAATCGTGTCGATTACAAATTTATTTGCAGGGGCCATTGCGCAAAGCTGTGGAAGTTTTGCAGCAAGAAGTTTTGGAGGGTGGTTTGCTGAAATATTGTCTTGAGTTGGGTTCTAATGATCTCAAGGGCTTGATACAAGTTGTTAAGGACATTGCCTTCCAATATTCCTCATGCTCTTCCAAAACCGACTTGTGAATGGAAATTTAGTCTCGAGTTAGGATTGTTAAAATTAGAAGCAGTTGTTAAGGCAGATCAAAGAACAAAATTTTGCCTTTTAGTAGCTAATCTGTTGCCAAGAGTTAAAATGCATTTTTTGTTGTTGTTTCTGCTGTTTATAGGACGAATTTTTTATAATCTTTGACTAACGAAGAGTTGTAAAAATAATGCTGAGTATTCTTATTTTATGGAGCCGGAGCTTCACGGTGTACAAATTATCATATTCGAAATAGTTAGTGTTAACATATGAGATTAAAAAATATTGAGAACATAAAAAATTTTGGGAACCTCAAATTACTAACGGTCTTTATTACCATTTTTAAAAAAAATCATATATTTAAGAGATAAATACAGAACATTATTGGAATAGTTTTTATTACCACCAAAATCAAAAAAAATCTTGGGATATGATCCGATTTCCCTCACAATCGCAAAAAAAAAAAAAAAAACAAATCAAGTAATAAGCTTATATTATATAAATCCACATTTTAAAACTTAGAAAATAAGTGCATATATATGCACCAAATAAATAAACTCACATTCCTGGTAAAATGAAATCCAATACTAATCATAAACTCGTACATTTAAAATAAAGGCATAGATCAACCCTTGGTCTAATCAAGGATTTTAAATGAAATACGAAAGTTATCTTGAAACTTCCAACAACATCTTTAAGACAATGTTTGATGCCTCTTACAAATGTTATTTGGAAATAGTTTTCTACGATAGTGATGTTAGTATTCTTCATTATGTTATTTAATAATAGTTGTCAATATTTATTATTTTAATATTTTTTGACGAAAATATTATTTTTGTTTTGCGATTTTATAGGGTGGCCGCATACTGGACTAATTCGTGACGTTAACATTACAAAGATGAGTGACAAGTTCGAGGATGGTAGAAAGTAACATTGCTAAGTAACAATCTATTACTGCAAAGTGTTGGAGTATCCTACCGATTTCCCAATGTTTTAATATATCTCATCGTTTAATATAAATATTAATATGTATCTCTTACCCGTGCATCGCACGGGATTCGTACTAGTTCTGAATTAATAAAAGAGATCTAAACTATTTAAAAATTGACTTTTTTCATTAAAATATTATTTAAAGAAGTTGTTAAACTCTACTTTAGTAAAAGGCACATTTTGACTAATTTGAGTGACATTTTGAATTAATAAAAGAGATCTAAACTATTTAAAATTTGACTTTTTCATTAAAATATTATTAAAAAAGTTGTTAAACTCTACTTTAATAAAAGGCACATTTTGACTAATTTGAGTGACATTTTGAATTAATGAAAGAGATCTAAACTATTAAAAGTTTGACTTTTTCATTAAAATATTATTTAAAAAAGTTGTTAAACTCTACTTTAATAAAAAGCACATTTTGACTAAACCATCCAGTACATAATTTATAGATTCATAGTATTGTACAACAAAATTTTATGTTAGCTTACATTATTATTTTTTCTAATTAATTTATTACCATGTTCAAATATTTCAATCTTGCAATTAAATCCAAATATGAATAAAAATAAATATTTTTAATATTTTACTATTTGCTATTATGTCCATAAATTCATGTGCAAAATACATTTTTTGTTTTCTTTAATGTTATATTATCTGTTTTTCTTTATTATTATTTTTTTTCTCATTTTTCTTACATGATAGTCTTTTTTTCTTTATAAAAAAAAGGACATTTGAGTAGTTTTATATGTCATGTTATCTGTTCTATGTAAATTTTAAATATTATGTTATATCAACTTTTCAATTATGACATGTAGTTATGTAATTAGTAATTTAAAAATAATATACATTTAGAATTGTAATAAATTTATATTATAATAGCTTATACTTAATATTGTATGTTGTGAAATTGGGGATATTACTTCACCACTTCTTTCTTTGTTCCTCATACTATTTAGGAATATATATAAATGCAATTCAATCTTTTTGAAATAATTTGCATCTCCTTTATTAGTTCTTACTTTATTAATAAATTAATATTTTGTTTACCTATTTAAAGCTATTATGAGGTATTAGTTATGAAAGGGTTTTGTTTTGTTAAAATCCTATTTGATTGAGATATTTAATTGACATTCTAGTTTATTGAGATACCTAATGGTTGTTAAAGATTTTCCATTAAATGATACTTAGTATAAACAAATATTATATGTCTTAATGAAACTTAAAATGATGATTGTTTTGGAATATTAAGTGATTTCTATTATTTTGCAAGAATACAATTTAATACATATTGTAACCTATATTTTTAATATTAAATAATTTAAGAATTTCAAATTGTTTTAGCAATAAGTTTTACTTTTAACATACATTATAAGTAAAATAAAATAATTGTAAATGATATCAAGACAAAGTTCTAGATAAATGAAAGTTCATATCCCATGTGGGTCATGTATGATTCCTTAGTTCATTTGACGTGAAAATATTTATTAGTTCTCGCACAATCATAAGATGACACAAATTAAGATTTTGAGTAAATCTTCGCTCTTTTATGTATATATATCAAATTACTAATCATTGTTTATAGTTTTACTATTATAAATATATTAAATATAAAAGACATATTAAGCAATAAACATTCAACTATTAGACAATAAGTTCACATTATTTTTTTTACATGTTGTCCCTTGTTCTATAATATAGTAGTTATTACCCTTAAATTTCAATTTATAAGTTTTTGTTTCTTTTTTTGAAATTGACTTTTTCGATAAAAATATTATTGAAAAAAGTTTCTAAACTTTACTTTAATAAAAGGAACCTTTTGACTAAACTATGTAGCCTATAGTTTATAGCTATTCATATTATAATAAATAAAAATTGATATTATTTAACATTATTATCCTTTCTAATAAATTTAATACCATTTTTAAATATTTTAATAATAGAAATTAAATCCAAATATGAATAAAAACAATAAAAATAAAACAACTAAATGTTTTATACATTTTAATATTGCTATTATGTTAATAAATTCATGTGAAAAATGCATTTTTATTTTCTTTCATATTATATTATGTGTTTTTCTTTATTATTATTATTATTATTATTATTATTATTATTATTATTATTATTATTATGCATTTGAGTAGTTTTATGTCATGTTATTAATTCATGTAAATTTTACATATTATGTTAAAGCAACTTTGATTATCGGCTAATGTTTTTTGCCAATTAAATTTAGCCAAATAAATTAATTAATTTATTAAACATATCATTACAGGAACGAAGTAAAATATAGAACAAACTTGTTATTATGATCGCCTTATGAATTCTTTTATTTTTTCTTTGACATACTTTACCTAATCTGTGTATGAGTAATCAACAGTGTGTGCCAATCGTATATAATTTTGTCTTCAACACTAACGCGTGCTCAAGTAATCAATTAATTTACTTTTTATAATTCAGTTTGTTCTTTAATATAATGCATGCATAGTTTTTATAATGCTTAGTAATTAATTTATAAGTAAAATAAAATAATTATAAATGATATCAAGACAAAGTTCTAGATAAATGGAAGTTCATATATTATGTGGGTCATGTATGATTCCTTAGTTCATTTGACGTGAAAATATTTATTAGTTCTTGCACAATCATAAGATGACACAAATTAAAATTTTGAGTGAATCTTCACTCTTTTATGTATATATATCAAATTACTAATCGTTGTTTATAGTTTTACTGTTTTAAATTTATTAAATATATAAGACATTTTAAGTGATAAACATTCAACAATTAGACAATAAGTCTTCACATTATTTTTTTTACATGTTGTCCATTGTTCTATAATATAGTAGTTATTACCCTTATTTTTCAGTTTATAAGTTTTTATTCTTTTTTGAAATTGACTTTTTCAATAAAAATATTATTGAAAAAAGTTTCTAAACTTTACTTTAATAAAAGGAACCTTTTGACTAAACTATGTAGTCTATAGTTTATAGATATTCATTTTATAATAAATAAAATTTGATATTATTTAACATTATTATCCTTTCTAAAAAATTTATTACCATGTTCAAATATTTTATTACTAGAAATTAAATTCAAATATGAATAAAAACAATAAAAATAAAATAACTAAATGTTTTATACATTTAAATATTGTTATTATGTTCATAAATTCATGTGAAAAATGCATTTTTATTTTCTTTCATGTTATAATATGTGTTTATTATTATTATTATTATTATTATTATTATTATTATTATTATTATTATTATATCCTCTGTCCTACTTGGTACTCTATTTTTTCGAAAAAGGCATTTGAGTAGTTTTATGTCACGTTATTAAATTCATGTAAATTTTACATATTATTTTAAAGCAACTTTGATTATCGGCTAATGTTTTTTGCGGATTAAATGTAGTAAAATAAATTAATTAATTTATTAAACATATCATTTAAATAACAGAGTAAAATATAGAACAAACCTGTTATTCAGATCGCCTTAAGAATTCTTTTATTTTTTCTTTCACGTACTTTACCTAATCTGTGTATGAGTAATCAAAAGTGTGCGCCTATCGTATTTAATTTTTTCTTCAACACTAACGCGTGCTCCAGTAATCATTTAATTTACTTTTTATAATTCAGTTTGTTCTTTAAAATGCATGCATGAATAGTTTTTATAATGCTTAGCAACTAATTTATAAGTAAAATAAAATAATTATAAATGATATCAAGACAAAGTTTTAGATAAATGGAAGTTCATATCTTATGTGGGTCATGTATGATTCCTTAGTTCATTGGACGTGAAAATATTCACCAGTTCTTGCACAATCAAAAGATAACACAAATTAAAATTTTGAGTGAATCTTCGCTCTTTTATGTATATATATCAAATTACTAATCGTTGTTTATAGTTTTACTATTATAAATATATTAAATATATAAGACATATTAAGCAATAAACATTCAACTACTAGACAATAAGTCTTCACATTATTTTTTTTACATGTTGTC